TTCCTTCTCGTTCTCTCCGGTTGAGTGACGCGCCCCGGAGAAAGAAAGTGTATCTATAAAAGGACAAGGATGATTGAAATAAAACAGTTCGATATCACGATAAAACATTCTTATCGTTACAGTAGTCATATTAGTAAAAGAAGCTATAATATCAAAATTATGAAATGTTTGTATTAATTTTTTAGGACATAACTATTAACTTGCATAGTGAAATGATTCTTTGAATGATAAGTTTATAGATGGGAGTAAATATAGCAACAATAGACACTCCTGTTATTAATAGAACAATCGCTGTTAATTTTAGCAATAATATTTGTTTTAGAATTAAACGACTAAGAAAAAAAAGAAAAGAAATAGTTATTTATATCTTAAACATACAATTATTTTGTTATCTTTCTAGTGAACGTTGTTTTTTCTTAATTATGCAACGCTTACAGCTCTCAACGCCCTAAAAATTTCAATAAAAATCATCATGAAACTAATAAATTATCAATAAAGATCTAAGATATACTCCTTGCTTCTTTCAAACACAACTCTTTACTTGCAATTATATCAAGTATACTGTCAAAAGAAGACAGGTAATTTATTCGTCGTATATCGGTTAACTTATTCACACTGTATTTATACACCAATGGTATATCATTTACTTTAGACATCCACTTGAACTTTTGTTTGGTTGTTGGATAACTTTTGGAGTAAGTATCTCATGAGAGTTTAGTGAAGATACTTTACTCGTTTTTTTTCTATAATTATTATCTATAGAGCTAGGCACTCTTGTTTCAATTTTTGGTTTTGTCTTCAACAAAATTTCTTCAAGTGGAGTCGACGCAGTGTTTTCAAATACTGGATTATAAGTTTGTGCAGTAGAATATACATTTATTTCCTTCGGGAGTTGTTTCCTCTACATAAAAAATATATGAACTCATCATAGTCTACTAACGACAGACTTGTTGAGAACTAACTACTGCTAGACGTGGTACCAAACCCAATAGCGGTTGCTTTTTATACGTTGATGTTTTATTTTCGCTCATATTTCTCGAGTATTCAGGAATAAAATACGTTTTTTTTTGTATTTTTACAGAGAATTTATCCGAGACCCTAAAGAACGATTTTCATATTTATATTCTGCTTCTATTTTTCAAACAATATGATTTATTCATGATGGAATCCTATATGTTTTGCAATTTTTTTATTGTCCTACTCAATCTAGTTAAATTTTTCATACTACACAAGATTGGTTTTGATATGCTTCTTTTGATCTATGAGATTTTGCGGGTCTAAAATACTAATATAGTGGATGATAAAACCACTACTTGACATTTTGTGTCAAGAAGATTACATTGATTACTTTATTTTTTGTATTCACTAGAATATAAATTATGCAAACAATCCTATGCAATTGATTTTATATCTTCCAATTTATAGCAACAAATAATTTGCGTAGCATTTTTTATTTATTTATTTTTATAATCAGCTACGCATGGCCTTTTAAGAAGACATAAAATACAAGCTATTGGTACCATTAACTCTTACTTTTTCTTATGAAACCTATTGTATATGTTTACTACATTCTTTCTGTCTCTTCTGAGTACGTGATGTTTTCAAAGACACGATTTATTTCTTCTACGCAGAAGAAAATTAATATTAAAAACAATCTTCGCAGTAAGAAACCATTATTTGGTAAATACAATATATATATATATCATTCTTCTCGATAGGAATAGAATCCATCATAAGAATGGATATACAGATGCATAAATATCTTTCTGGAAGACAAACTGATATTTATCTTTTTCTGTGTGCGTTTTTAATTTTATTTTCTCTACTAATATCTATAATCTTTCGTCTGTTTTTTATTGTTGCTATAATTGATGAAGAAACTATCGAAGTATGCTTGATAATGCACAATGGCCATCAGATTATACTTACAGCAACCCCATACCATTTGAATTACGCTAAAAAAAGCTAATGAATGCAGTGTAGTAAACTGTAGAGAAACATTGTTCATACGACTTGTATTTTCTTATAGTATTAGGTCAACTCGGATTTACAACCTCATGGTGTGGTACATTGATGAACAGTAAAACTATCTATGACATCGTTGAGTTTTTTAATATCATTAAGAAATATCTCTTATAGTAGAATATTTATCTGTAGTGTCTGTATTGCCACACCGCTACTGTGATAGATATTTCTGATATATAGTTATTCTGAATCATTATGGGACTAACAGATGGTCAAATATGTTAATATCGAAATTTTGATTAAACATCGTATTATGTAAATTTTATTCTACAAGCATTGTAATAAAAATGCAATAATACAAAGACCGTGATTTCTTAAGTGTTTCACTTGAATACAATGATTCATTCAATAGTTCCGAACGTAAGGCGTGACTTCATTCAACGTGTACAATTTGATTATATGAAAAAATTCTTCACCTACGTATAGTTGTACTTATTTATCTGAATATTCTAAAATATTTTTATCAATGCAAAAGATTATTAGCTGGGTAAAACTAATTTATGATTCAGGAAGAAAACGATATTTATCTATTTCAATCTTCTATTCATTTCCGTTGTAGATAAAAGCTAGATAACTGGGTCAAATGAGTTCTATAGTTTACTATAAAATGACCCAATATTCCTGTTCGGATTCTTCATAAAGTTCACTTATCAATATAAAAACAGCATACAAGACTCAAAAGAAATCATTTTGATACGCAATTAATGTTGAATGACACGTGTGATTCTTTCGGGCAATACTTTCTTCAGATAATTGCAACTAAAAAACACGATCAAGTTCTCTAAAAACAACTATGAAAATTTGTTTCTGTGCAACACTCAAAACAAAGCATTATACCGTAACTTTCACAAAAATTATGTTCAATCAAGAAAACTACATTTGTCTTATATAGTAAGCATGTATGAAAATAGGTATGGCTTTATAGATTAGCAAGTACACATATTTCTTGACTGGTCAATTCACGATTATACAAACGAAATTCATCGAGACCACCCGTAAATGATCCTGGTACAATCGGTATACTTCCATTTTTACATCCCACTGATCCAGAGGGACCCAATGGACTTTCATTAGCCAATGTTATGTACGCCGGATTAGTATACGCAAAAATGTTTACGCCGCCCGCGCCTGAAGTAAGAGCACTTAATTGTCCATTAATATAGAGTCGCATACCATTCATTGGCGAAATTACCATGCCTACATGAGTCCATGTGTTTGTTGGCAAAATAGGACCTAGTAAACTATTAACGATTGTAGTGCTTTGCATCGATTGAGCTACTAACTCGCCTGTTACTGCGAAAACAAGAGGATCATAACAGTTTCCATTGCCATTTTGTAAAGTCGAAAAATGAATTATTGAACCTCCTCCACTCGATATAGATGGGTTTACCCAAATTGAAAATGAATATGATGAATTTGATCCTTTTGTCATTGTAAAGCATTGTGCTTGAAAATAACTTGTACTAGATGAAAAAGTTAGAGCGTATCCAAGTGCTCCTTGTGATATTGTATTTGTTTCATATGCTATTCCATTATACAGATTAACACTATAGTCATAGAGAGTATTGGTAGTATCGAATGGATAATACGCTGTTAATGTTGCATCATTATAAATTTGGCAAGCACTTCGAGCAGCACCAGCCGATATTGAAAAATGGTCAATTCGTCTAGAAAGTAGAAAAGGGAATTTCAGATATTCTTATTTTCATTTTTAAAGATTTTCATATTAGCAAACAGCAAAATACATTCTAATCGCTCCTTAAGAATTATTTTAATCAACAGCAAAACTATATCTCATGGAACACATTATTTTTATTAGAATACAAAGGAAGAGGGCTACAAGATCTCAATTCAATATGAACACTAGCAAGAAATTAATTTCTAATTCAATTTAAGTCTGTCATAATTAAATGATTTCGATATCCTATGTGTTAAATTTATCTTAGCTTCTATATTGTTGTGCGTTTCTTTTCAGGTGTGTGATCAGGTTGATAATTCGATTCAATATTGAAATCATCCTATTCAAGCGTAGTGACTTCGTATCGAAACGAAGTGTTCTTCTCGTTTTTCTCTCGCGATTTAAATACTCTCACTATAGAAGTGCAACTAGTTTTTCAATCGATAAATATATAATCAGAAATGAAATTTCTTACGTTACCCATTAAAATAAGTTGTTCCATATGCCGATGATATAGTTCGTCCAATGGTTGTTACTACGCCTGTTGTACTTCCTTGATAGGGAGCAACGATACCATTGGAAACAATATCGATGATACCATTAACATAGATTCGTTGTTGATACAATGTTGCATCATATACAACCGCCAAATGTATCCAGGTATTGACTAACATTATGCTTGAGCCAGTTAATGTCGTATTAGTATTCATTGAATCAAATGAAACTATAAAACGACCATTTCTTAAGCTGATGCAGATACACTTATTATTTGAATCACATTGGCCAAATATTCCATAGTCACTTGTAAGCGAGCCGGTCGTTATGTACAGCCAAACTTCTATGGTGAAGCTTTTTTGAGCCAAATTAACATTGGAAATTTGAACATATTGAGAAGAAGCAGAAGACAAACTTATTGCCTCAAGGCCAACATAAGGTTGATTTGTATATCCCGGTAGGACAGAACCAAATAGTATTCCGATTCCGGATCCTGTCCAGTCATTAGGATTTCCATCGAAAGTATAGAGAGCAGTGACCATAGAAGAATGATAGGGTGTTTCCTTGCCAATACATGTCGTCGTAGAACAAACCGATGCAGTCATATTAGTAAAAGAAGCTAAAATCGAAATTATGAAGTGTTTTAATAATACTGTTGTCTTAATTTTATACTTACACTGTGAAAAGGTTTGTCGAATGACAAGTACATAGATAGGTATAAAAATAACGATGACAGCCACAGCAGCAATCAGTAAAAAAATACAAGTTAGCTTTAAAAGCAACAATTGTTTTGGAGTCAACTTGCTGTTTAAAAAAGAAAAAATATATTAGCGTCATAAAAAGAAATTACCAAACAATTGTGGATGTAGACGTCCTACGCTAGATGTCATGGTCAAATTTTTGAAAGAGAAACGATAGTATTGAAGTGTTTTGTTTGAAAAGTTAGCTGTTGTACTTTGATTTGATTTGACTTTAGTGGAAATGTTTATCACATTTTATTTTAGTTTACCAAAAAAATGATTAGTCAAATATTTGAGATTCTTTTTCCAGTAACAATGACTTCCTTTTCATAATATAATACGTAGGTCTCTCTGTATCATATGTACTTAAAAAGGTGCCTGTGTGATAAAAACAAAACAATGTTGAAAAAGAAATAGTGAGGTGTAAAAATCCGAAAAAGAAGTGGTACCTTCACTAATTAATAACTGTACGAATGCTAGCATAACCATATTAAATATAGGAGAATAGTAGGTTACTTACTTTAGACATCCGCTTGAACTATCGCTTGAATATCGAGTTACTTTGGGATCGAGTATCTCGTTAGAATTCACGAGTGAAGGTTGTTTGCTCTCATTCACCGATGATACTTTATTGTGTTGCGTTCGGCCGTTATTATCTGAACCCGTTAGTATCCTTGATGCAGCTCGTGGTTTTGGTTCAAACAAGATTGATTCCAATGGAATAGAGGACGCACGTTCATATACTGGTTGATTAGCTCTTACAGTAGAAGGAGTATTCACTTCATTGTGAAAGTGTTTGATCTAAATGAAAAATCGATCATAGGATCTCGCGCTAATTGTGTCATACTTTTTTAGATTCAATCAACGTATGGCGGGGTACCGTAATTACTAGTGGTCGATTTTTATGTGCAAGACTGTTCAATTCAATCATATTTATCGGTTATTTAGAACCGAGTTACTTATTTGTATTCACACTAAGAAATTAGACGACGACGAAATGCAAACTGTATTTTCAGCTTATATTTTGCAAATAATATGATTTTTCTACAATGAAATCTTATATATATATATTCAATTTCTTCCAGTCTCATCCAATGTAATTATGTTTTCGCCCAACATAAAGTTTATTTTACAATGTTTTTTTTCTAATCTTTGAAAGCTATCACTCGCTAATATTGATGAAATAACAACAAAACAAAACAAAAAATAAAAATTTCTTTTTTTACAGGAATAAATTGATTTTTTCTCTTTTCGAAAAAATTAATCAACACATATTTCAAACATTAAACATAGTCGAAATCGTCAGTCCCATAGAAGTTACACGAATTAATATTTTTTTATTAATTTCTTATAAAAAATGTTTCTAGCAAATTAATTCAATATCTAAAATTTCATTTATCAACTTTTTAAATAATTATCTCAAAGATAAAGTCTTCAAAGACTTCTTCTGTATAATTCAATACATTTCTAAAATTTTAAAGCAGCCAATCATTTTTGAACTATTGTTTATGTTGTAATTTTATAATCAAACCCGTATAAGCTTGAAAGAAGGCATACAATACGAGCGATCGGCACGATTACTAGTTTATATCGTAATGAAATATTTTGTACATTCTCCAGATATTATTTCTGTTTCTCCGTCTCGTGAATATTTCGATTTTTTTTCAAATGAATGTACTCTTTTATTGCGCAGATGAAACTTTTATTTGACAATAAGATATCAAATGCAAAAAAATATTTTGTTGTGCAAATAAAATTCATCTCGATAAGAATAGAATCCCATGCAAGAGTATGATCCAGTAAAAAGACTAATATCTTGCTTTAATGTAAAACTCGTGACGTCTTCCGCATGCATTACTAATCAGATGTGTTTAAATCATAAAGCCATATATTTCATATTGCTACTTGAATTGATCGTGTAACTTTAAGTTTTCAGGTATCTATCAGAGAAAATTTTTGAATGTTTGATTATCGATCAGATTCGTTTCTAACAATAAAACCCAAAACAAAAACTATCGATGACTAAGTATCCCAAATGAGAAGAGCAGTGAAAAAGCAGCAACAGCTGTAAAAAAGGAATTCATAGAAATAAAACATATCACATACAGAAATACATCCAAGAATTTCACATGCATTGTATTGTGTACAACTCTCAATGTCTTCTATTACAACGAATATGATGCAAACGATTTAGGTTTGAAATTTTTCTTTTTAGGATAATAATGTTTCCTGGTCGAAAGATCGATATTATCGAAGAAAAACATACACCTATAAATAGGTCCAAGATAAATGTTTGTGTTTTTTCTTCTTTATATAATTCTTGTTATATATATCTACAACATAGATTTGACTTTATTTTTATGAAATTTTTCTTTTTCTTTTATTTTCTTGTATACATATAAACAAAAGGACAGGTAATACAATTCTATTATTAATTTGTACTGTATTCATACAATCAAAAAAGTCTTCTGTTTTTTAAACATGAATTGCATTTCTATAAGAAAAAATTCGTCTTGATAATAATAAATTGGAAGATAATATCGTTTTATATATATATAGAATATGCGGAGAGAACTATTCATTCAAAATAATCTATAAGATATAGTTGATGTGAACCATAAAACGTTCTACAAGTTCATACATTTTTTTACAATCGAAATATTGAATTAACACCAATTTGAAAGCGTTGACATGCACCCATATTTGAAAATATTGTCTTTCTTTTGGTTTCCTGCTTTTAAACTCAATATCGGATGACTAACATTTATTTAATTGTACGTGAACAATTATGTATGGCTGTATATGATTCACTATAAATAAAAACTAGAAACACATTGAACGAAGACGTAGAATTAAAATTTTCAGAATATGATTCATAATTTTTTGAGATATTTCTTGTCGATGAATGCCATACATCATTGGCGTGCACCGAAGCTTGAACATATGTTGTTCTCACATTATACCTGCAAGATCAGTTCTACTAAGCTGTGATAAACTATAATTCCTGCAATCCCATCAGTATTCATATGCAAATATTTTTATGAATTCTTACAGTTTTACTATGGTTTGTGCTAAAATCTATTGCAAAATTATTCAATTTGCCAATCCAATTAAGAACAACAAATCTGCTAATGTGCCGATGCTATTATTAAAATGTTTCTTGTACTACGAAGTAAACTTGTTTAATTTAGGATTCCCACTGTGATTGATATCTTAGATTGTCACATTTTACAACTGATTCTCTTACTAGAAAGTTGAATATATTCATATGAAATTTTCACTTATTGTATTATGTGAATTTCTTTTGATAAACTAAAATATGATGCTACATTATTTTAATTGGCATGTCTTGTATTTTAAAACGTTGATTTATTCAATAAAATCAGAAGATAAATAAGTTCTAGATAATTTCATCATTTATTAAATATGATCCGTACGATGACATTGATTTTGAACGTAAAATATTCTTGTTCAGAGTGGAGATTTTCTTCTGTAATAGGAATAACAGTATACTTGAAATTTCGTTTTCCAATATGGTCATCTTCTTTATATATTTGTCTGCCTCTGAATTCCTATTGATACTGGTATGGATGAAGAAAATTTTTCTTCCACGTATTAATTTTTCATCTGACTCGTACCACTATAAAGCAAAACTTCTAACAAAATAATAGAACAAAGAAAAAGAATGGTGTGCTGGGAAAATGCCGAAAGTGAAAAATAAAACAATAACGATGTCTCCAGTATATAGCGATCCAATCACATATAGTTCATTGTTTTTTTTCTGATAATTTTACTAGTATAGAATTATAACCAGTATTGATAGGGATGACTAACTATTGATACAAGTAAAATAAAAGAATTGTGTGATCATGGCTGAAGCTTTCGTAATTTTAACTGGTGAAACCCAAGCAAAATCTCCAGCTATTTCATTTATAAATTCAAATAAAGGAAAACCTCTACTAGTTGCCGATGAATATACTTTTAAATTAAGTAAAGCAACAACAACTACTAAGTATTGGATATGCACTATTAATGGTTGTGCAGCTAACGTGCATACTGATTCAAATAATCGATTGATAAAAACTGTTGGCGATCATAATCAGTTTCCAGAAAAAGAAAAACTTGAGGTTCATGAAGTTCGTGAAAAAATAACATCTTTTTTTAAATTCTTTTTTATATTTTTCTCAGTGCTAACATTTTAACGGATAATAAGAAAAATCGATTTGTTTGCGGAATACATATTCGAAGAGTCGTTTCTGTGCATCCCACAAGACATAGTTTAGTATAATGGTACTCGTAAGAAAAAAATTGAATATATAAAAAAAATGCATTCGTATCACGATGGAAAGTCTGTCTCGAGAACAAAAAAATTGTTAAAGATTAGCAAGTATACAAATTTCTTGACTCGTCAACTCTCTATTGTAAAAACAAAGTTTATCAATGGCACCTTAAAATGCTCCTGAATCAACTGTTACAGTTCCATTTCAACAACCCAGCGATACAGATGGACCCAATGGACTAATATTGCCCAACATAATGAAATACGGATAGTAAACACCATATAATCATATACTAGAAGTGGTTGAAGTGGCAGCACCCAATTATCCGTTTATATAGAGACGAACACCATTCGTTGGTCCGATTATAAGAGCTATATGAATTTGGGTATTTGTAGATAAGGCAGGTCCTATAAAACTATTAACATTGTTAGTACCTAACATTCATTGAGCTACCAATTGACCTGCTGATGTTAAAGCAAGAGCATCCTAACAAGTTCCGCCGCCATTTTGTGAAGTCGAAAGATGAATGATTGACCCTCCAGAGCTGGGTGAAATTGGAAGCATTGTGATTGAAAATAGCTAGTACTGGTTGTCAAATTTAGAGCCTGTCCAAGAGCTCCGTAAAGTCATTTAATATGCCAATTGAATAAAATGGAAAATAGGCAGTTAACGTTGCATCATTGTAAATCTGACAAGCACTTCGAACAGTGCCAACCGATAATGTACAGTGATCGATTCGTCTATAAATTAGAAAATAAAAGAAACTATATTTTCGTTCGAAATTAACGGATGATTATACTGATACTTAAAAATGAATGCATTCAAAAGCTAGAAAACTATCCAATAACGATCAACTGAATCTTTGTTTGGTAATTATGTATCTATTTATTCAATTGAAAAGTATTTTGAATAGGCACGATAATAGATAAACAATTATTATTTTCAATTTGATTCATGTTGTAAGAGAGCCTGAAAGTTAAAATTTTCGTATTCAGGCGAAAGAGCAGCACACTCCTCGAACGATTACACCGGTAGCCAAATCAAAGAAAAAGTGTTCGAGTCAGTCTGATCTTAGTTCATTGTTTTATATTTGAATCCGAGATCGAAACAGATTTGCTAAGATTTTCGATATTGCATATACTCCTTACGGTGGATTTAAGCTACTATCGAACGAATTTTTCTTTAGTAGGTTAGGTTGTGAACTAAAGAAGATCTAATTTAAACTTCACAATTGTTAGTTACAATAAACTTCTTCGTTCGGTGAAGAATAACAGAGTAAATTATAGATCAAGCAGTAATTGAACGTTTTAATGGTACTGCGTCTATTTTGCTTTTATACTGATGTTTTCTTCTGCTTTGCTTTTCAAAGTTGCAGTTAAATCAATCATATCATTAAAAGATGGAAATATTTTAGAATCGGAAACAACGCAGCAAAGAACGAAGTTGCGACTCGAGTGAGGTGAGAAAGAAGAGCTTCTCCTGATTTAGGTTTCTAGTCTAAACATACCAACTATAAAATTGAAATAGGCTGAAAAATATAAATATCTATTATTGAAAATCAAATATTTTTCTTCCCTCATTAAAATATGATGCTCCATAAGCTAGCGTTAGAGTTTTCCCGATCGTTGTTACTAATCCTAATGAGTTTCCCTGATAATTTGCAATCATACCATTTGAAAACAGCATCGAGAAGACCATTGACATAGATGTGCTGTTGTTACAACGGTTGTACCAGCCAAAGTAGCATTAATATATTCATTGAATCGAATGAAACTGTAAAACGGCCATTTCTTAGGGAGATGCCGATGCATTTAAAATTTGAATCGCATTGGTCAAATACTCCAAAGTAACCTGTTAACGGATTACTTTGTGGACTGAGCCAAACTTGTCAAGTAAAACTTTGTTGAACCAAATTGATATTTGAAATTTGAACGTATTGAAAAAAAGTAGAGGAAAGATACACTGATTGGCTACCGACAAAACAGAATGTTTGATATCATGGTGCGGACAAGCCTAATAGTGTTGCAGTTCCGTATCCTGTTAAATCATTGACACTGCCATCAAACAGATAAACAGAGGTAACAATGGACGAATGATAAGGTGTTTCTTTGCCAATACATGTTGTAGTCGAACAGATCGATGCAGTCATATTAGTAAATGATGCTAATATCGAAATTATAAAGATGTTTTAACAATTATTTGCTTCTTTTGTAGTTTTTTACTTACATTGTGAAATAAATCGATGAATGACAAGCATGTAGACCGGTGTAAATATAGCAAGCATCGTCACGCCAGCAATGAGTAGGAAAATAGTAGTTAGCTTTAACAACAACAATTGTTTTGGAGTTAAACGACTATGAAAAAAGAAATAAAAATTCAAAAGATATAAGTACAAGAGGAAAATAATGAAAGTGGGTCAAATTAGAACAAGCCAATTTGACAAAAAGATTTATATATAAAAATAAATCTTAGATGTGTGCACTGTCAGTTTAGATCATCATCTACTTGTTAAATTTATCAACGATAATTGCTAAACATTCATTTTGCTTTTTCTTTTGAACGCAACTTGTTTCCCGATAATCTATAACTTTATACAATGAAAGTTCTACATCTGTAGATATGTAATTATTCTCTTAAGATAATCACATGATTGATGATGACCTTTGATATTTCTCTCTGGATTGCTCCATTCACCAATGATTTCTGTCAGGTCGATCATCTACTTTTAATGATACGAATAGGTTCATTTCACTTTAGTTATATTCTATGACAACGCTTAGCACAACATAGATAAGAATATTACACAGCTTACTTCAGACATCCATTTGCATTATGACTAGGATTTCGAATTACATTTGGAGTGAGCATATCATTAGAATTTATTACAGACGGTTTAGCTGCATGAAACAATGAGACTCTATTGTTTTTCATTTGATCATTATGATCTAAAGGGCTTATGGTCGTTGTTTCAGGTTTTGGCTTTCTCTCCAAATAAATTTCTTCCAGTGGAATAGATGACGAGTGCGTCCATATACTGTTTTATGAGTTTCTATAGTAGAGGGCGCGTTCACTTCATTATGAAAGTGTTTCACCCAAATGAAAAATGTATGATTATATAAAAAAAATGCTTGTATCGTACTCTTAGAGACTCAGTCGCTGCTTGACGTGACACAAAAGACAATTGTGGTCGAGATTTCTTTACAGATGTTTTAATTTCAATCATACTCGTTTACTTTTTAGGACCAAATTACTTGTTAGTATTTATGTTAAAAACTCAATCGATGAATAGAAACAGAATATAATTTTTGTTTATATTTTTCAAACAATAAGAAAGATTGATTTGGAAGTCATGTATATATTTTTTTTTGGAATTATTTTTGTTTTCTCACGCAAAATAACTATATTTTCAAGCAAGAGAATTTTATTGTTGATTACATACTTCTGATTTCTAAAATCTATCTGTCTCTTAGGTTGACAAAATAGCAATGAAAAACAAAAGGTTCCATTCTATTAAAAGAACTACAGCAATTACCTAACAAAACCTTGAATTTCCATTAGATACTAAAATAATAAACAAATAAATTTTATTTTATTTTTCTCTGAAGCTCATCAAGCAGAAATCAAATAATACTTCGAACATTAAATAGTTGAATTCATCAACCTGCTAGATATTAGACAGAAGATTATATTTAATACAAGGTATTTATGGAATTCAGTATATATGCCTCGAATGTTTGTAGAAACCAGTGATTTGATGCAGCATTGTTGACATTTTGATCTTTAAAATGAATAATCCACAAAAACAATGAAAGAAGACATAAAATATCAAATAACAATACCATGCCATATTTTTTCTCTGATGCGATTTAGTTTGAAGCCTATTGTTTTTGCCTCCCTTGAATACTCCGACGTTTTTTCAATCACGCGGTCTCGTCTATTGCACAAACGAAATTTTTGATTGATATTCATTTAAAAAGAAAATACGACTTATCTCGATACGAATAGAATGCACTGTAACAGTACGATTCATTAGTAAGATAACATGTTACTCTGATATATGAGCAGATCTCTTTAGATGATTAAGGCATGTGTTTTACATTGTTCCTGGAATTAATAATATTTTACAATAAAATCCGTTCTAAATGCTTAACTACTACAAGATGGAACTAAAATTCTGATAAGAGACGCACCCGCAGTCTATTGTTACGTATCTATATCCATTTATGAAACACCAACACGGTTATTTTGTGAGATGATTATTTTCTGTTCATATCCAATCGAATAGATTTCTATTGCTCTTGTGTATTGTAATCAGAAAATGAGAAGAACAAGTAAATATTGGAATCCGTGCCATTTGACATGTTGAAATGTTTCAATAAGGCGTACTAGAAATAATTATTGCTTTGTGCATGAAGTGTTTTAGTTTCTTTAGATTTAATCAGGAATAAGTTTCAATAATAAACATGGATATACTTTTCGAGGTGCAGATGAAAACAGTACAGCGGGGAAAAGCACACGATACCATTTCAGATAAATTTTATAAGAAGAGAAACCCATAAGTTTAAAAAATAAACTATGATTATGCAGCTTCAATTCGCGCAGGTCTTTTAAGTGCCAAATAACTCATATTTGCATTCAATTTTCTCCAACTATAAGGCTATGAGTTTTCTATTGAATTCAATTAGTTGCCATGATTTATAACTTCCGAAGCTGTTTTAGAAAATCAAAAGCATTTTGAGGATCTCTGAAGAACAACTATGAGTTTTATATATATATATAGATTTCAGATACTTGTACTGAATACAATAGCAGATACGAACTCCTACAAATAAATACTTGTCGCTATTTAAGACAAGACGATATTTGATAAACGCACCTATCTGATCGAATCATTTCGAAAAAGTACATCACAGTAATTGGTCCAGCATCCAATACAACCTTGTCATTTTTATTCAGCCTAGTTAGTTAACGAACTATTTTTACCTTTCGTATACTATGTGGGGGGTGTGTCTACGATTTTTTTCTGTATTTTGAGTTAAACATTTTTTTAAAGCATTTTGAGCAATGAGAATATTGAATAGGTGATACTTCATGGTTTTTAAGAAAGACTGACGAGTTTATTTTACTTCTAATTAAATGCTCGAAAATTTCGAAAAAAGTAATGCAAAATAAATAATTGAATTTTCGGTACCTAAGAATATATCATGGGAAATATGTGAATTTTCGAATTTCTGTATCATTTCATAAAGAATACTTGACTAAGATTTTGAAATTAATTTACAATTGTTCTAAAAACTACATAAAATAGACGTTCAATCAAAAGATGAACTATATAGATCTCAAGCACCGATGACTTGGTTTCCTGAATATTCTTTCCATTCATGAATCAAAACTGTTAAGAAGAAAAAACTAAGGTAACAATCTTAATCAAAACTGCCAACTCTTCGTTATATCTTGTGTTGAAGTCGAAACGACGATAAAAAAATCGCAGATATGTCCTAGGCATATTGTACAGGTGAACAACATCTGATAGACGAATGAAGGTAAATTGAATTCGACCTTGCCAAATTTTTATTTTGAATCTATAATTGTAATCTACTGGTATTTCGAGGACATTGTGTAGCAATACATCGTTATCAAACTGGATACTTTCATTTGTATCTTGCAGCCAATAAAAAAGAAAAAGTTCATAAAATATCCTTCGTGATTTAAGCTGGAATAGTTTTCATCATTTTGCTATCGATGTGGTGTCTTTGTTTACATCAATGATATTCGTTGAAATATTAAATCAAGAATGATAAACTGATTATTAATTGAATTATGTGATGATCAGTTATATTCATTGAATTTTACAATTTAAAATCTAACAGCTACACATGTTTTTATCAATATTTCGTACTTTCGTTTGATTTAAAATTATTCTTTTCTGTAATCTTGTTGTTAACGGAAATATCGCTTCTCGGGTAGTGATTTCATTTAGATAAAAAACAACTACAAATCAATTAATTCTTTACTGCATGTTAATCATCATGCCAACAATATGCATGTTGCACACAGATTTTGTTTTTCGTAGGATCATTTTTATTTCACCCAAAGATGGGTACTTTCATATTCGATTTAGTCCCATCGATGAAAAATCATTATTAATAAGAAATTTAATTTTTTTGGTTATTATCTTACTGGTAAATAAATGTTTACTTAATATTATACCAATTGTTTATGAAATATCTCATTGGTGTATTGAACTACATCGCTGGATATTTTCTCTTTTTCCCACTTAAGAACGATTAAATGTAAGAGAGCCATGCAGTTATTTAACTAGTTTATCTTTTTACAACTTGAAATAATACAGACTCTGTGAAATGTCATTGAAATTTTGATCGAATAAATCTTAACTAAATGTTTTATAGTTTTTTTTCTGATGGTATATTTTGCATTTCTTTGTAGGCTACTGAAAAATAGTAGTGAGTAAACCCATGAGATTTCTACACATCATGTTGAATACCGGGTAAAATTCCATGTATTTATACACATGTAATTTGCTCAAGTTGAAGTTATAAAGAAAGCCAAAGAGAAATAGTAATCCTTTCTGCTCTATGTAACACACGAAACTATAAACATATATGCCAACAAAATAAATCTATATACAACAGCGGCACCTATCTTCATGTAAGAGTGTTTGTTAATCTAGCAACCTCTCTCTTGTCATATATGATTATTATTGTACTGTTGTCATCTCAACAAAGTATCTTCATATTACGTCGTCTTGTCAAATTGATAGTTCCGAATACAGGTAAAAATGATGTCTTTAAATGATGCTGCGGTAAGGGTTTTTTAATTATATTTCTAATAATTTAAATTATCTTCATACTCATTCAGCATAATGCCGAACAATATTCAGCTTTTGTTGAACGGCATATGGATGAGCGCCGTCAGCGTGTTGAACAACTCGATGCTTTCGTTCGTCATCGACTTCGTCTGTATAAGCAAGCACAAGAACATGTTCAACGACAAACCTCCAATAAAATTGTACGATCAACCTTTTGCATATATTTTTAAAGTTTTCTTCTTTGAAATAGATCGAAGCAACTGCTTTACCTCCACCAGTCACACCAGCTGATACTGTTGTCGTTTTATCACAACGCTCTTCAACACCGATTCTTGAAAAATCATCATCATTAAATAATCCTGTCGAAATGACAAATCGTGTACGTCGAAGTAAGCAACGCTTAGCATCAAAACAACTTTCTCAACCTATTGATATATCGTTGACTAACGATACACAAACTGTTGGAACATGGATTAATCCAGCACCACCAATAAAAGTAAACTAATATTCAACCGTATTTTATCTACTCTTTTCTTTTGATTTTATCTATAGGTTGAACATAATGAAGAAGAAGAAGAACGACCTGCAACTGGTAATTTTTAATTTGTTAATATTAGCAACGAAACATTGTGTTGTATCCTTAGATAATACACTTCGCCGATCAATGAGTGAAAATCGCCTTTCATCATTTGCACTAAAGGCAATTACTGGTAAAGAAAACAAAAGATTTTGTTTTTTTAGAAAACTTTTAAAATAAAAATCTAGATTCATTAACCGATGGGTTAACAAATGTTGAGAATCGAAAACGTCTTCAAGCAACACGTGCTTTATTTATGACTATCGAACGTCGAAAAGTTAAAGAATCTTTACTTTTAAATAAACAAAACAAAGAAATTCAACGGTTAGAATAAAAATATCATTCTCATTTGAATTAACAAACATTTGTTTTTTTTTCATTTAGTCTTGTTGAACTGAAAGAAGCTGAACGTTTACATCAAGAAGAATCCTTAGCACAACGTGAAGTATCGGCGGTTTATACTAAATCAGGTAAAAATGTTTCTAATTCACTATTTATTCATATTTCTACTATCGAACTGTTTTAGATCAACCTATTGTTGATGTTAATAGCGTTGACCCAAAACAATTAGCTCGTATTCGTCAACAACGTGTTCATGAACAAAAACGACGAGAACTTGAACGGTATACTAACTTATTTAGTTATATTACTTTTTGAAATAAGATTCATATTACGATTTAACCATATTTATTCTAGCGTATAGTTTTATTTTTCTCTTGATGATAGTTAGTCCAAGTAAAGAGATGAGCGTGCAAAAGTATTTCACACATAATTTTCTTATTGATGAAAGAAAGACACACGGTCACATGAGAAGTTCACCTTTTGAGTATACACGTATAGCTCTAGAACAAGCGTTTATGTAATTTTATGTATCAGTGGTTATAAAAATATTACATTCGCAATAATAATTACTCATATCAACGCGTTACTAACGCTATCTCATGATTTCATTAAATACTTTCTTGAGCTGAAGCTTATTAAAAATATACGTTTGTTAAATGTAATCGATGCGGAGACATGAAAAATGCAATGCTAGATGATAAGTAAAAATCCAACTGTATATTTTTTTTCTAATCTTGAAATCTACGTTAATATCTTTTTACAAGGTAAACTTGTCGTCTGTTGTTTACGTAACTGTTTCAATGTGATTTTAGGTACATTCGAGCATTAAAAACAACATTGAGAGAACGATGTTCAAAGCGTAACATTAGCGTGCCAACATTATGTTCATGTCACTCAAGCATATGGGATGCTGATCCAATGGCATGTTCACAAAATTGTTCATTCTATCGAAATCCAGCCGGTAATCAAACCTGTCATTTTTTCAATTCTAACAAAATGACCGTATCTTTAATTTCTCTATTTAGCTTTTGCGACATCACTTCACAGCTTACTTGGATCATGTCAAGTCACCAGTTAACACCTCATTATTTTGTTGCCTTGACATTATTTTTTCTTTTTTTGTCTATTATAATTAATGATGAATAATAGTGGTTAGTAACGAGCACGGGTAAATATTACATTTTTTTTCATTTTAGATAACGTTAATTGGAAATATCAGTTCCACCCATGGTATGTTTTGATGCATATTGAAAAACCAATATTATTTTTATTAATTAGTAGGCTCGAACAAATCTATCTGTACTACCTGATGTTAGTGTATGTCTTCGAGACGCATTAGATCATATGTGTAGCAATCGTAATCCTGATAACACAAATGAGAGTAATCATACAGTTATGGTACCTGAAGAAAACGATATTACTGTTGATGTTGTAAACGACGATGATAGTAATGACACAATGTTGGCCAATGATTTGCAATCAATTACGAAAAGAAAAACTGTTAACACAGATATTTTCGATCAAGAACAGCTAAATCAAAATGAATGCGTGAAACGTCTACGCACAACATTTTCTCATTAGTGAGCAAATAAGCAGTGCATTTGTTTTTCTAAATGTGTGTTGTATTAAATCAAGGTAAAATTTGCTTGAATTTTTCAAACTCCACTTTATGTTATTGTAAACATATTCATATGTAACTTCTGTGTAATACTTACATAAAATGAAATAAATATATTGAAATATTACGACTAAAAAATCTTCATTTCTATGATTGTGAATAAAGAAATCCGTGACAAAAAAATGTTACGCGGATGAGTAAACTCATCCATTAATAAGTTCATTAATTGACTAATGCATGATGTCCTTCAATCTGATTCAGCGATTGTCTCTCTACTAGCTAGCAACATATCATCGCAAACACTACGCATAACGCTCATAAATCGTAAATAAGTAGCGATTGGTAATATTCTACTATGACCATGTAGAAGTTCGGATCTTAATGAACGATACATAGCCGACGAATTAGCTTTACACATCGAGTAAAGATCATATAACTCTTCACCATTTATTCCATTACACAGTGGTATCATTGTTCTAAGTTTATGTTTCATTAAAAAGTCCTGAACTTTCTCTTCGCTCCAATCAGAAATATCTCCTTTGTTAGATTTCATCTTCAGTGAACTTTTAACACCAGCAACTTCTTTCTTCTCTTCATCATTTTTTTCATCACAAGACGTACCAACAGCAGCAGCTCTTTCTATTCTAAAATAATTACCCAAATATCATACACACACCAATTCTAACAAATTTCTCTTACTTCGCAAGTTCTTTGGTTTCTTTACGCTTTTTCTTCTGTAATTGTATCTCACTATCCAGTAGCTTCATTGCTTTTTCGAATTCATAAGTTCCAAAATCAATGTACAATCGTGTACCTAATATGAAACCTAGCCATCCATCTGGTACATATTCTTGTTTCATTTTTATTGGAACTATATGTTTTTTACGATTGAATGCATATTCGGCTTCTGATTTACAGTTTGCACTGCGTTTGTATGACTCTGACATACACATGAGAATAAACTCAGCTCCATCGACTGCATTTGCCTACAAAGCAAAAGACAGATATAAACATTTTTTTGTTCATAACTAAAATTAACAATTTAAATACCATTGCTTCGATTGTCGATCCATGCATTTGTTCGATATCAATCCAAATTTTATAACCAAGTTTTTCACTCAGATGACCGAAGATACGATGTGCTAGTTCGCTTTCAGCCCAACAATAAGATATCATGAGATCATATTTCTGTTCTTCTTCCTCTTCCTCGTCTTCTTCTGCAACGCCTGCTTCTTGAGCTTTTCGTTTTTTTTCTTGTTTTTTCTTTTCAGCTTGAGCAGCTCGTTCTTCTATGAACTTTTCTTCTTTTTCTACTTTCCAGATGAGACCTTCTGCTGCTTTTTCTAATGTTGTATTTTCGTTTCCCTTGGATTTCTCGAGCAAATCAGCGACACGAGTCATAAGCTTTTCGTCTTGTTTTATTGTGTTTACAGCTTCAGGATTGTTGAATGTACAAGACCAAAGAATTTTGATCGCATCTTCGAGTTGTTTATCAGATTGTATCTCTGGATCACCATCGCGAACAAAAGCCATTAATTTTTCAAGACCGCCTTGTCGAATAAATTCATTTTTAAATTCCTCGTGTTGTATCATGGCTAGAAAGTAAGAAACGAAACACTTTTAAACAGTAATATTCTTAAAAGAATGCGACAAAAAATCAACAACCACTTCGAATACTGAATTCATGGCATACCATTGAGGCTTGATAATGTATTATCAAGATCAGGATTATATTTGTTTGGATCAAGTTCTTTAAGTTGATCGATGAAGATTTTTACCATTTCCGTTGGATTGTCGTTAATTTCGCTTTCATCCATAATTTCTGCTAGAATTGATAAAGCTAGTTTTTGTTGCTCTCCACCTTCAGTAGATGCGTATTTGTTGAAAAGAGATGTTAATTGGCGTTTTTTCATAATTGTACGAATATCAACATTTTTCGATAAGTTCAAAAGAGCTTGAAAGAAAACAGTATTTCTTTCATTATCACCATCAGGATTTGTTGTTGCAGGAGTTTCTAGCGCTTTGGTTAAACGATCAAGGATATTATTTGCATGTTTATCAAAAGAAGGGAGATTTTGAATGCTGAGAAGTTGTTGACATCGTTCGAAAATATAAGTAAGTGCATTCGAATTCATAGATGGTTCTTGATCAAGAGTGAGTTCAAAGCGTGCTAAAGCATCGTCATAAAATTGATCAATGAAAGCTGTTGAATATGCTGTGGTTGTCGAGTTTTTCGAGCTAAATGGTATATGTTCCCAGCAAGTGTACAAAAGAAAACGTTCGATATCATTCAGTGATTGGCCATTTTGTAATTGTCGTAATGCTTGAACATAATCATATGAATCAAGGCAATTGAAGATTACTAAATAACAGTCAAACATGAATTGTGTGATGATGGGGTACGTGTAAAAAAGTTATACAGAAACTCACGTATATCGTTCAGATATATATTTCGATCGTTGCTGTAGTAGAACTGACAACCTCTTAACAACCTTATTGTCAGCAAACCCAATGCACATAGATTAGGGTCATCATTCATGCCACTTTTATTGATATTACTGTCGACAATTTGCTCGCGTACTAAATTCAGAACTATTTTTGTTTCCAATATTTTCGTTATTTGCTTTCGATCTTCATCAGGATTCGTTACAAACGGGTGGTCGATTGCACGGACGAAAACGAGTATAATCTTCAGAAATATATCCGATTCTTGTATGTTAAGACGCATATCTGTTGCTTGCCAGTTTTCTAATAAATCAATTAACATTTGATGTAGAAAACGCACCATTTGATGAGAAAGAACTTTGGGATCGAGTAATTTATATGGTAGGACTGATAGAACAGCATTTGTGATCTCTTCCACGGCATCTAAGAACACTTGTGTTGTTGCTGCACCACTTTTTTCCATATGTTCAAATTCGGTGAGAAATTCATCGAACATTTTGCAAATATCATCTGCAGTAAGAGTATCAACAAGTGAATCTTCTGTAATTGCGTGCAAGTGAGATTGATTGACCATGATTGGAGGCACATGTATTTCGTCATTTTGTGTTGCCATGATGATGATAATCTAACGAGGAATTATTACTGTTATAATACTATAATGAAAAACAAATTGTGTAGCTATAAACATCTATCGATATTAATGGCGAAATGACAACATAAGTATGTTTTGTTTGAAATAATTGAGAAACATTGGTGTGCTTAGTGAAGTGAAACGTGCCCTCGTCGATTCTTAGCTTTTTACACCCTTTTTATCGTATTTTTTTCTGTGAGGTTTGTCAATTGTCAGTGATAATATAGCTTTCTTTTCATTAAGAAAAAAAAGTCGATTTATAATCTACAAAATAAATATTTGGGTACATGTTGCTTTTCTATATGGATTTTTTTGTTTCGATTGTATACTGATGTCTTTATACATGATTGCGATTTTCATTTATCATAAATAATACATAAAAATTGAGAGGAAGAAAAAACATTTGCAATGCCAAATCCTGCACAATCGAATACAAATTATCAAGTATGACTGCGAGGGTGGGCATTGATTATATCTACAACATGTCAAGATATCTATCAGCAAAATATTTTTTTCATTTTCAATTTCGTAATTTTATCTATTTCTCTTCATCTGCATCGAAAATATATTTATTAGGAAATAAGCCATTTTTTTTATCGATGGACTTGTATCAGGTGGCTTATAGCGACTGTATCTACTGATAAAATACCTTGAAACGCGTCTTGACCAGACGGGCGAAAATGAAAACGCTAGCTTTGTTTTTCTATGCATCAGTAAGAAGGATTGCTAATGTGTTACTCATTTTATTTAATGCACATGCAATCACAAACAAACATATATACTGCTTACAATCACATATTTCATATGTTTATTTATTTTAATGATTATTAGTTATTGACAATTCAGTGAATTTCTCCATTCACATGTAAACCTTTTATTTATTTCATAGGCTACGTTGTCTCAGACGATTATGTAGTCTTACATGGATATACCAAGAATGTATATTAATCTAGGGCCTATCGTCGGATTATTCAGAGGAAACAATTTTTAAATCTTCTTGATCGCAAAAGTTTGATGATAATTTTCAAGATTTATTTGAAATTGAACTATATCAAAAAATTTATCATTTACTACAATCGAAAAAGCAAAATATAAACGCTCATAAGAACAGCGCAACAAACATGTATCATTGTTCTAAAACAATTTGCATATTAATCAATACGAAATTTTAAAAATTTTCAAGCAAATCTCTGTTATAAACGTTTGTATATACCAAAACATCGTCATCATCACAGACAGTAGCTAGTCGACTCACAAAATGAAGATATGAAGATATTGATAAAACTCCATGATGAACTTTTGAAAGTTCAGATTTCAATGAACGATACATTAATGCAGAATTCGTCTTACACATATGATACAGATTATATAATTCTTCGCCATTGATTCCATCGCAAATTGATATCATTACAACAAGGTTCTGTTGAATTAAAAAGTCACGAACTTTTTGTTCGTCCCACTTGGTAATCTTCTCCATGCCATCGTTCATTTTTGGTTTACTTTTAGATTTAACTGCTTTCATTCTAAACAAAAAAAAAATAGCTTTTCATATATGATACGAACGAAAAATGAAATTATCGTCTCGTACTTAACGATTTCTTCAGATTGTTTCAATTTTTTGTTTTGTAATTCGATTTCGTTATCAAGTGATTTCATTGCTCTACCGAATTCATGGGACTCGTGTTCATCGGTAATTTTCGTAAGAATATCTGCTGCCGATTTTTTAATATGACTCGACGAACTAGATGCGTATGCATTGAAGACAGTTGTTAAGGAACACCTTTTCATAATGGCCAGAAACGCAGGATTTCTCGAGAAACTTCGAAAAGCTTGTAAGGCAACGAAAATCAAGGCTTCGTTGTCAGTAGTAGTTGATAAGGGATTCTTTAACATGTTCGTTAAATGATGAATAATAGTTAGTGCATGGGTATCGAAAGAAGGAAGATTATGAACGTTGAGCTGTTGTTGACATCGCTCTAGAATATGTGATAGTACTTCAGGCGCCAAGACTTGTGCGTGTTCAAGAATATGTTCTACTCGTATCAGAAGTTCATCACAAATCTTATCAATAAGATCAATTGAAGTGATTCGTGTCGAAAAATCTTGTTTAATTAGAGATTTCGAACAAATATATTCCCAACAAGTTAAAAGAACAGAAAATTCGATATTGGTCAGTTCTTCACCATGTTCTAGTCGACGTACTGCTTGTATACAATCATATGAATCAAGCCAATCCATCATCACTAAATGACATTAAAAAAAACATGCTTTCATTATAGATAAATCAATGATATTAATGACTTCTTTACAAAGCTTACAGTAGTGAATCATCGGTTGAAATTGTTCCATAGGATAATAAAATGGATGTCCGGCCAAGAGTTTAAAAGTCAATAAACCCAATGAGCTTATATTAGGACCATCAGTGGGAAATGTATGACTGATAACCGCATAATCTACTTGTTCGTGTATTTTCAACACTAATTCATTCATTGCAAATAAATGTCTCTTTAGTTTTTCATCTTGATCAACGCTAACTATAGTCGCTTGCTCAGCAGCATGAATAAAAACGATTGTTACCTTGAGAAATATGTATGTTTCTTTAATACTCAAATGCATGGCGGACGCCCGCAAATTAGCTAACAGATCAATAAGCATTTGATGTAGAAAACGTATTAGTGGATGAACACGAACTTGTGGATCAAGTAGTCTATGGGATTCTATTGAGAGAACGACATTTGCTATTTCTTCTACAGCATCTAAGAATATTTGTATTGTGACTTCACCACTTTGTTCGATTCGTTCAAATTCAATAAGAAAATCATCAAATATCGTACAAATATGATTTGGTGAAAAATTGTCTACCGTAGAATTTTTCTCAATCGTTGATAAGTAACATTCAAAGTTAAACATCGGTGATGGCAATGCAGGATCATCTTCAGTAGACATGATCAAGACCGTCTAGGTCAGTGGTTTCACTTTTATAAAAAGCCTACACTGAAAATTTCATAATAACGCATATAACAGTCAAGCATTGCTCGTTAGGTTAAATATACCTGATAAAGATCTACTTTTCTCGTGTAATTTTGATCGTGTTCCCGCAATGCTATTGCATTTGAAGAAGAAGCTACTACGATTGGAGAAAGAAAAAAAAATATTATCCGGTTATTCTGATTGCGTTTTTATGTTCACACGCGGTTTTTTTTCGATGATATGATGATGGCTTTGTACGTTTTTTTTGCGCTCGAGGTCTATTATCACTAGTGCATGACTTATCCGAACGAAAAGGAAAATTGCCAAGGTGAACTTGTCGAGGTTTATTTACGTATCATATATGTTTTGATTGCAATCAAACGTTAACGAGCATCGCATCCATATGCTAACTCATATTTAAGAAAAAGAAAAAATAATAGTTTTCTTTTTTTCTTGATTCTTCTGTTAAATCTTTGTTGTATTTTGAAATTCGACAAACAGATTTACTTTTTGTACCAATAAATTATGGCGGCTATGAAGTAATCTTTACTGATTCATCAATATAGTTTGTCATGGTTCCTTTTGTACGAACTGTGAAATAATCGTGAGTCAGACATTCTCTAGGGTGTAGACCGCAAATATGAAATCGCGTTTAAACCTCGTTTGCACTGCATTGTTCTATTTATGCGTGCATTCAACAAATGCGTGACAAATTTTCCAACGTGAATTGTGGAAATTTTATTCGAGATTTTTTCAAAGGGCCATTTCATATGACCAGGCGCAATAGCTAGTTGTTTTGTTTACATGAATAAATTTATTCATTACTGAACCGAAGAAAACAAATAAAATGCAATAATATGTATTAAGTATGTAACAAAACTTCATAATTGTTCGGAAGAAAGTACAAGAAAAATTTTATTATTCAATATCCGTTACATCTTGTTCTGAAGCATTGCTGTAAGTGCATTCATCTAACGACAAATAATCAACATCAATATCAGCTAGACGACTCATATAATGAAGATAAGAAGATATTGGTAAAACAAGTTTGTGAATTCTGAGCAGTTCAGATTTCAATGAACGATACATCCCTACTGGACTGCTTTTGCACATACCATATAATTTACAAAGTTCATTGCCGTTCATTCCATTACAAATCGGTAATAAATCCGTGAGTTTATTTTTCGCGAGAAAATCTTGTACAGCATCCTCATTCCAATTCAGAATATGTTTACAATCGAATGATTCTTCTGTTTGATCGTGATTATTCTGAACATCTTTTTCTTCATCTATAATATTGTCGCTATCAACTGTAATCTTCTTCTCCGTTCTAAAATAATTCTTGATTTAGCATGGGCACGAAAATTCTAAATATTCTCTCTTACTTGACATTTTCTTCAAGTTCTTTCCGTTTTTTCTTCTGCAACTGTATTTCATTATCGAGCAACTCGATTGCCGTCTCGAATTCATGAGTTGCAAAATTAATATACATTCTTGTGCCTAATATAAAACCTAGCCATCCATCAGGTGCATATTCTTTTACCATCTTAATCGGAATTATATGTTTTTTACGATTGAATGCATATTCGGCTTCTGATTTACAATTTGCACTGCGTTTGTATGACTCTGACATACACATGAGAATAAACTCAGCCCCATCGACTGCATTTGCCTACAAAACAAAAGGCAGATATAAACATCTTTTGTTCATAACTATAATTAATAATTTAAATACCATTGCTTCGATTGTCGATCCATGCATTTGTTCGATATCAATCCAAACCTTATAACCAAGTTTTTCTGTGAGATGACTGCAGATACGATGTGCTAGTTCGCTTTCAGCCCAACAATAAGATATCATGAGATCATATTTTTCTTCTTCTTCTTCTTTCTCTTCCTCTTCGGTTTGTTCTTCCGCTTCTCGTTGTTGAACACCTCTTTCTTCAGCTTTTCTTTGTTTTTCTTGTTTTTTCTTTTCAGCTTGAGCGGCTCGCTCTTCTATGAACCTCTCTTCTTTTTCTACTTTCCACATGAAACCTTCCGCTACCTTTTGTAATGTTACATTTTCGTTTTCTTTTGATTTCTCCAGCAAATCATTAACACGCACCATGAGTTTTTCGTCTTGTTTCAATACATTGGATGCTTCATGATTATTGAATGTACAAGATCGAAGGATTCTGATTGCATCTTCGAGTTGTTTATCTGATTGCATCTCTGGATTACCATCACGAACAAAAGAAGTCAGTCTTTCAAAACCACCGAGTTCAATGAATTTTGTTTTTATCTGTTCATATTGCATCAAGACTACAAATGAGCAAATAGTGACACAGTTGAAACATGAAAAAATTCTTTTAAATAAAAAAGTACACTGAAGAATCGAACAATTTATTTTACTTCTCCTTACCATCAAGACTGGACAATGTATTATCAAGATTTGAATTGTATTCATTTGGATTCAGTTGTTTGAGTTGATTGAGGAAGAAATTTGTTATTTCACTTGGATTATTGTTAATTTCTTGTTCGTTCATAATTTCTGCAAGAATAGCTAATGCTAATTTTTGTTTTTCGCCTACCTGAGTAGTTTCATATTTATGGAATAGAGGTGTTAAACGACGACCTCTCATTATAGTACGAACGTCATAGTTTTGTGATAAATTATAAAATGATTTCAAGGCAACGCTGATCAATGCTTCATCGTCGGCATTTGTTGGTAAAGGATTTCTTAGCATTCTAGTTAAACGATCAATAATATTTTGTGCATGTTTATCAAAAGAAGAAAGATTGTGAACTGTGAGCAATTGTTGGCAACGTTTGAAAATATGAGCCAATGCCTTAGGCGCGATAGGTGGTGGTTGATCAAGAGCATATTCTAATCGTGTTAAAAGTTCATCACAAATATCCTGAATAAGATCGATTGAAGTGATACTTGCCGAACAATCTTGTTTGATCAAAAATGATGAACAAATATATTCCCAGCATGTAAAAAGAATAGTCACTTCGATGTCTGCAATTTTTTCACCATGTTCTAGCCGATGTACTGCTTGTGTAAAATCATACGAGTCAAGCCAATCCATTACCACTAAATGACAGAAGAAAAACAAAATACGCTCATTATCGATACTTTATTGATATCGATGAACTCGTAGAAAACTTACAATAATGAATGAGCTTTTGATGTTGCTCGGTAATGTAAAAGAATGGATGTCCGGTTAATAATTTTAAAGTTAATATACTCAATGAACATACACTACAATCATCTGCGGGAGCGATGTCATTTAAAGCAGCGAAATCTAATAGCTCGCGTGCATGATATGAAAATTCTTTTATTGTTAATAAATCTTTCTTTGCTTTTTTATCTTTTTCCGTATTGATTACAGTTGCTTGTTCAGCTGCACGAACAAAAATAATGCTTATATTGAGAAGTATATTTCTCTCTTGAATGTTTAAGGATAAACGTGATGTACAGTGATTATCTATAAGTGTAATTAACATTTGACGAATAAGATGTAAAAGTGGATGAGTAACAACTTTGATATCAAGTAATTTATGAGGTACAATTAATAGCACAGCATGAACAACGTCTTCCACAGCATCCAAAAACATGTTTGTTGTCATACCACTTTTTTCCATTCGTTCCAATCCAGCGAGAAAGTCCGTAAACATAGCATGAATATTATTCGATGTAAGCTTATCACGAATCGAATCCTCTTGAATAGCAATTAAATGAGCTACTTTGACTATCATTGAGAATATGTTTCTATTTAAAAATCTCGTTGAGACTTGGTTCACGTTTATGGCAAAGAGAAATTTTTTATGTCGTGTAAATTATACGTAGTTAAATAATTGTTTTGGTGATTGTTTATTCATGGTTATTTTGTTGTGAAGAAGACGCGAAGAAATTGCAATTTAAACAATGAGCAACGAAACTGGTAGCTATTCAGCATAACAACTTGAGCTCTACACTATCGTAATTATAAAACAACAGACACGCATATAGCTAAGAGAGTATGTGTACTCGATACTGTATGGAAAAAGCAATTACAGAATCAGTCAAATCGTTATTTTTGAATAGTAACCTTGAGTCAAAATGCATAATTGAAATAATAATATGTATTCCATAATGATTGTACATAATAATGCAGCATACAATAATATACAATATTTTTTTAAACTCAATACAATAGATAAATATTGGAAAAAAAAGAAAAATGTAACTTTAAAACCAGAAATTTTCAATGCAACTGCTTTACAGTCCAATACTTTATTTTTTCAAATTCATTCAGATGAGAATGCATATCAGATACTGATAATTCATTTATTGCTACACGGAACAAAATTTGAGAGAGAATTGAATAATGGGTACGTCCTTTCACGGTAAATAACATGTGTATATGTGATGATGTCCTTCAATTTCCTTTTTTTTATGCATGTTATTGCAATTTATCAATTTCATAGATCGAGACAGATGTCTAATGTTTTTTTATGGCCGATTTTGACATGTCAAGTTAAAAATAAGACATTTTATGATAAATTATTAAATTTCTAGGCAAAACGAATGTAATAGTAGCTATAAAACGAAATACAATCAAAATGAAAATGCTGTAATTCCATTAAGTTATTCATCGATCAATCATTTATATAAAACCTGAATCATTTCTTTGTTCTTTGCTGTAACTTAAATATATAATCTATCCTTCAAAACGACAAAAAGTAAAGAAATTTTACGTAATTAGTCTGTTAAAATACGTAGAAACGACAAGAAACACTTCTACATATTTGTTGTTGTTAATAATGTCGCTGGCATTAGCATTTCTTTTGCAGCGAATTGATCCACTGTGTTCGATGCTGTTGTTGGTGGTGGTGGTGGTTTAAAAGCTAATTCACTATTTTGAAACAATGAAAAAATATCAAGTGGTACTGGGAATACAATAGTTGAATTTTGTTCTGTTGCAATACCATTTAATGTTTGTAAATAACGTAATTGCAATGCATATGGAGATTGTGCGAGTGTATCAGCTGCCTCTTTCAATGCACGTGACGCTTTAAATTCACCTTCACTAGCAATAATCTAGAAAGCAACAATTAGAATCCTACTACATAAAATAATATTGATGAACTACTTTTGCGCGCGCTTCACGCGCAGCTTCAGCTTCAGCAGCCATAATACGTTGTAACATTTTTGGTAGACGTACATCCTTGATTTCGACTCTTTCAACTTTAATACCCCAACTGTCTGCTGCTTCATCTAAACATTCACGCATTGCATTGGATACAGAACCACGATCAGACAATAACTCCGATAGAAGCCGTGTACCAAGAACATTTCTCAATGATGTTTGCGCTAAAAGACGTGTTGATTCCTGAGCATGTTCAACATTAGCAACCGATACAGTCGGATTAAATACACGATAATAAACAACAGCATCAACAGCAACTGTCACACTATCACGTGTTAAAACTTCTTGTGGTGGAACATCAAATGAAACTGTGCGCATATCAATAAGATGTAATGTATCAACACATGGTAAAGTAAAACACATGCCAGGACCACGTGCTGAACTAGTAGTTAAACGGCCTAAACGAAATATAACAGCACGTTCATATTCTTGGACAATTTTTAATATAATAGCGATTGAAAATGGAAAAAATAGTACAACAAGACACCATGAACATAGAATTAATAATAATTCACATAATGTATGATTTGGAGCAGAAACATCTTCACCAATAATATATGGAACATCATATTTAGCCCATAAATGACGCAAATTTGGTCGTGCGAATCTTAAAGCGCTTTCATCGCGTCGACGATCATCAAATATAGCAGCTATCGATGACTTTCGACCGGCACGTGGTGGTGTTGAAAATGTTGGCATTACGGCTCCTGAAAATGGTGCTTGTTCATCGTTTTCACTGATAGTGGTTATTGCACTTGCAGAAGCTCGTCGAGACGGACCCATATAATCGAACACTGAAAAGTGAATTTTTTTAATAAATACATATGAACAATAACACATATTTCTCACAGCTTTTAAAATTTTCTAAGACAAGACTATTGGCTCTAGTTGTGGTGTTCATTAGTACATAAAAGCGAAGAATATCATAGAGATCGGGAAAAAGGTAGAACCAAGAAAAAATTATTTATTTATATGATAAATTTAGATTAATAAGAGAGAAAGGAATTTTTTTGAAAATAACGCAAGTTAAATATTCTTCAATCAGCAATCTCCAAAAGGTGAGCAATTGGGAATTCTTAATCTTTAGAGGAATCATCAACATCACTATGATAGTTTCTCGGGAAAATGAAAATGAATGAATTCTTTTCCCCTCAAAGTTCAACATTCACAAGAATTCAAAAGATCACTTTTCTGGAATCGTTTTCATTCGTGCACACCCACGCTCGTAATTTCCCTAATAAAAATAAGTGTTCGAACAATGATTATCGCGAATATTCTATTGCTTTTTTGAATTTTACTATTGATAAATTAGAAGTTATTTCTTTTCGACAGTAACCTTTAGACATACCTCAAAATTACACATCATTGAAACTGAGTGTAACATTAATATTTCTTCTATCGACGTGCAACAGATATATGGAAATATGTTTAACATGGAAATACTTTTTTGTTTTGGCATCTATCTGATAAGCAGCCTCTGGAGTTAATACTTTGTTCAACATTTTTTCTCGTATTTTATCAGCTCGAATAATTAAATAATTGATAGATTAGGGCATGATAGTGTTGTTACAGTTTCTCATTGACAGGAAAAGCAATCGATCTGAAACTTTCTCATTATAATATTTAGTAATAGGTAAGCGCAAGAGTTTATTCGTATTTCCCCGAAGACGTTTGCTGTCGATGTATAGAATACGAATGCAAAATTTTTAGACAATCTTTTATTCAAAATAGATGTCAAAAAAAATAGTTTCTGCTATTCTTATTCTGTAAGTTAAATAAATAGAAAAACATTCTATTTAACTATGATTGAATTCATCTATTTTTTTCAACAAATTCGATTGTTTCAATCATAAAAAGATACAATTATATTCTATTTCTATATATTACTTACAAATGCAAAATGACATGAAATATTCATAATGTTTACCAAGGAAAAAATAATAATTGTCTCCGTAACGATCACTATTCTCAAAATTCTACAATATTTTTTACTATTTCTATTGTATAATAAATTCTATGGGGTTTATTAGACGAGAAACATCCGTCTACTATTTTCTCTTGAGGAAAAGAAAATTCTTTTGCACATAAAACAGTTATATAATTTATATTGAAAACTCACCTGTATTTTGAGCAGGACACGATTAACGTTATAATATATGATAGTATGCTTCTATAGAACAATTATTATTTCTTCAATGATAGTTGAAGCACGAACAAATGTACTTTATCTGATTATGATCATGATTGATTGATACATGGATCGCTCGATCCCTTTCTTTCTCTGTCTCTCTTGCATCTATCTCTCGTTTTTCATCGATGAAACGAGAGCACGGTTAATTAGAGTTAACAACATCATGTTGTCGGATCTTTCGTGTTCCTTTTTCCTTGCTACAATGACATGAACATAAGGAAAATATCGAAAAAACAACATTTGCATAAAAATACAAAATGACCGACGATCGCAACAAATGAAAGGGAAATATAGAGTTATGATTCAGCATAAAATCAAATCCCATTGGAACTTGTTCTATACTTTTCCTTGTCTCATGACTGAAAATAATCGATGATCGAAAAAAAATGCTACAAATCTGGTTAAAACAAAGTCATTGCTAAAACATTTGTCCTAATACGTCAATGTGTATGTTTTCATCACAATAAATTGACAAATATATAAACAATAAACATATGGACAATGTTAGATAATGACACTGATCACCCAGCCGTATGCTTGGTGTCATCAAGCAAATTAGTAAATTGATACAAAAAGTATGATAGTGATAAATTGTTTTAAGTCAACGAAAGTTTATGTTATAATGGCCTCATATTTACTCGTCGACTATCTTAATTTTATTATGTTTTAGAAATTTTTTGTTTGCTTTTCGTTGCCTACTCAATGAGAAGAACTTCATCAATATTGAATTTTAAAATGAACGACACATTTCTTTCGTCGTTTATACGAGGAAATAGTATATGATCTATTTTTTTTTCTACTAGTTTTTATGGGAGATAAAACTGATGTCTAGTGTTCATTGATAGAATTCTTTACAAAAAAGCAAAACAGTATGTTTAGAGGCCGAAAATTTCGTTCACAGATTATTATCTAGTCAAATCTATAGAATCAACTTGTGCATTTGAACGTATATAGTGGAAAATCTTCGAAAGTCTATCGTCTACATGAAAAATTGCTCATGTAGAAAATTATCTAATAGTTTTCTTCTCGTAAAAATCACGATACGAAGTTCATACACAAATTGTATCATTGATGATTCAATAGAGAACAGTTCATCGGCATTTTCTTTAATTTCTTTTACTATGCGATAGATCTTTCTTTTAATGTACAAAGATTCGATGTTACGATTTACTTGACTTTGTTATGCTCTTCGAATGTGATTATCGTCTACGTTAGCGTAAAGTCATTGTTTACCTTAGCCATAAAATTGCTTTTCCTAATACAAATATCAAGTTGTTTGCGACAGCTCGTGTCGGAACTGTTAAAAGGAAGTTCGCAGGTTAACTAAAACTTTGTCGTTCGGCGAACGATCAATCTCATCTATCTTAGCCTCAATAGTTTTATCGTGATTTCAGGGAGAGTAGGACTCAGTGAACAGTATTTGCCGTGAAAATTTTCTAGACTTCATTCAGTTGTCATAAATCATTTCTGAAATTACTAAAACTCAAAGAAATCAATACTGTTCGATGATTGATGAAACTCATGCGTTTCTTTTCTATACCTAGTGTTATTTTTATGTCTATTCTTAAGAAAGAATTATTTATTGTATGGCATACCCTCTGATCTTTTGGTTTTAGTGAATGCAAGAAAAAAACTATCGGACAGTTTTGAAAATAATTAACAATTAAATCAACAAATAGATTTTTGATCGTTTTCAACAAACAGTGTGTGTCCACTAATACGAGCCATAAGCGCATCAACAAAATCATGTTCTTGTGGCCAATGTATTTTGAATTTTTCACGCAATTCACTTTCATCTAGACTTGTTGCTGTCATAATTATCAATCGATTTGAAATCACAGGATTTTCACCATCACAATAAGCAAATAAAAGACGAAGTTGTTCGAATCCATCATTTGATAAGGTATTATCAATATGACGTAACAGGAGAGCTCGTATCGTATCACCCGTCTGAAGTAAAGACTTCATATTTGTGTCTAATCGAATTTTATCACCAAGATACGATGGAAGATTGATTTCAGTCGATACCTGAAATGATTAATTAAAATTTCAATTTCAACTAACTGATAAATATATTAACCTTATCTTTATGCTTGTCAGTATTGACTAATGCTAGGATACATCGAGCTAGATCTGCAGCATATTTTTCATTCGATGATAAAATTAATAGAGTAGATACACTATCTTCTTCGGTTTTGAAAGATTTATCGAGAATTGGTCTTAACGAAGCACATATTGTACTTCTTTGACCTGATGAGAGTACATTCTCAGGATCAACTTTCTCACGCCAATCATCACCATTGTGATATGTATCCGAGTCTTTATTTGTCACGCAACAAAATCCGGCAAGTATGCCTATAATGAGAACGAATACGCCTACAATGACAAACAAATTCCAGCACAGTGAATTTGTTTTAGGTGAAATTGGTGATAATGATGATGAATTATCTAATGCAGACGGCGAATTTATTCCTGGTTCAGTCGATGTTCCAACTTGACCAGTAGTGCAGTCTGTGTGGGTCTCATCTTCATCCTCAGTGAGCAACTCCGAGACGTCTTTATCTGCAGCCGAAGTGAGTCCAGCAGAAGTCTAAATAAATTTAGTTTTTTGCTTAGATGAAAAAATATTTTTTATTCAAAATATTTACCTTGGCTTTGCTTTTTTTTCCACGTTTTTTTGCTGCAATTTCAGCTGGTTTATCTTTGGGCGATGGTGAAGTCATATTGGGTTGTTGTGATCCTGATTCTCCTGCGACAACATTGTCGTCACACATTTTATTTAAAAGCTCAAATCATATAAATAAAGCATCCGACAGATGACTCATCAAAGTTTATGGAATTCTAAAAAATATTTGATTGGTTGAATATCATCTACCATTCATGTTTCTCTTTCTGTTGTTATATATTATATAATAATGATCACAACCGCATTCTGTTGTAAATATGAAATTCAAAAAGAATACTATTTAGTATAATATGATTGATTGATTATAATTGTTATGAAAAATCTAAAATGTAGTATTATAAATCAGAGATAAAAAATTTGTTGACTATCACAAAAATGTAGAAGTTTAGAATATAAATTAAACAGGTTTTTCAGTATATTTATACAGCATATCAAGATTGAAATTCCACCGCTTAATGAAAAAATACTAGCACTCAATTTCATATCCAACGTCATACGGTAACACAGATTCCTTAGACATGTTTATATCGGTTCTAGAAGACTTATGCCAGAGAATTATTGAGATTAATTTTTCTATTAAATGATGATTTAGATGCTACCAAATACATACATATATATATATATATATATGCAGTCAAAATTTTAATGTGATACTACAAACTAGATAAGACTTTCGGCCTATTTATTATCGTCATGAAGAGAATAAATCATTTTCTATATGTAACGCTGCATTTCTCTACCAAACTGAACAAAGTCGATGCATATATATTTCAAAGTTTTAGCACAAAAATCTTTATTTGACATCACTTTCTTTTAATAAAATAAGTGTTGAAAAAGTATTTTGCAAAGATATGAGTATACATGTATTCTGTACATGAAAAATAGATAAAAGTTATAAAATATATAAAAATCAGATCTCAACTATTGACTGTAACTGCTGTAGTTTCTTCATTATTATCCAGTACTTGATATCCATCGGGTTTATGTTCACGATTCTTATAGAGAACATAATGTTGTACAATAAATACAATATCAAATGTAATTGAAACAATAGCAAGACCAAACTTGGTTATTGAACCAAATAATGATAACCAATCATTATAATTAATAGCAAATAAACACATTTGTATTAAACTTAGTATCCCGCCAAGAAAATCAAATATAACATTTCCAATAGACCATCCTTCAGTTGACTTACGTCGACGATTCATTAGAACTTGTGGAATGTATTTTATAGCACATACTGCTAATTTAACATATGAATAGAAATACATTAATAGAAGTAAATTCATATGATTCACCGATGTTAAAATTGTTGTTATCGATAAAAGTAAAATTAATAAGAATAATAATATCGATGCTGCGTATGAAACTTGTTGTCCAGAATGCTAGAAAGAAGATTTTTCGATGAGTTCAGTATTGAAGGAATTAAACATACTTGAAAAAGAACACATTGAAAAATAGTAAGAAATGATGCTATAAAACCATGTAAACCAAATACAACATCGTTAAGTAAAACAGGTATAACACCGTGTGGATGTATTTTCACATAGGCATCCTACAAAAAAAAGAAATTTTATTTATCTGATAGTCGAGCTGTTCCTATCTGATTTACTATATCGTGACTTTTATGTCAATTATCTATAATGAGGAATTCTTGCATGAGAGATTAAACTTATTATCATTCTGAAAGAAGGTGATGAAAGTTTTTTATTCACACAAAATTTATTCTACATGATATAATATGTTGTAAAATGTAAAGGATCAAACTTTTAGTTGCTATCGCTGTATAAGAATTGAAATATTAGTATTCAACCAATTTGGTCTTCACTAATATGGAAAGTCAAATGAGTAGTTAGAATCATTGAATACAACGTTCGATCCGCAATGGTATATATCGAAAAATCTCGAAGGGAAAATGAAAGTTCAGAAACGTTTTTTTCTTATTATTTGGAACATGGATCTTCAAACTGAATAAACATACTTGAACACTCTTCCATGAATAAAAGCCAATATTAGATACTGAATAACAAAAATATCCAAACATATTTAAAGCCAGAAAATCAAAACTAAGTCCAACAACACTAAAAAACGCATTTGATTGTTTGTTTTTCGCTAGAATAATTTATTTTTTTTCTTTACCTTTGTCGGCGAAAATTCAGTACTATTTGTGGATAAAATGAAAAAGACCATGTAGCAAAAGAAAGCCAACCGATTATATTAATAATTCGATCAAGTTTAGCACTAAGTGCAATATTAATTAGAAGGAAATCTCGGTCCGTTAAATTTGTATTAAATGCAGGTGTTACATTACAACCAACAATAACATGACCGGGACGAAGACCTGTTATTATTAAAACCATTTCCATACGAGAAGAATGTCCACGGAAATCAATAGACGCAAGTGGTTTAATATAATCTGTCGAGTGAGACCGATCTTCACCATAAACAAAGGAGATGTGAATGGACTCATCTTGTTCTGATCTATTAATTTCAAAAGAATAATGAAATTCTTATGATTAATTTTTGTCTTACACTAATTGAATTGTAGTTGATGCATTACGGCCAACAGAAACAGTTAAACTAGCAGGATTAAATAGTAATTCATGATTATTCGCAGTTAATTCCTCACTGTCTATGAATACAGAAAAAAAACTAGAGAAATTTAAAATCGACAGAAAATCAATCTCACCTGAGCGATGAAAAGTAAGAAAAAATGTAAAAATTAGTAGAAGAATGTTTTTTCTATGCATCGATTCCATTTATGTTTCAGAAAAGATTATTCTTATCACACGTCTCACTTCACTCGTTTTGTTTTTGTGTCAAAATCGATGACTAAGAATAATTTACGAATTATATTATCAAACAGATGTCACTAACGATAGGAATAAAATACACTTTTTTCCTTGTTGGTTTATTCGCAGCTGTCAATAGAAAATTCTTCTAGTACAACCTTATATCTTACAGTCAAATCTGTATTCTAATTGGTAGGAAAGTATTGAATGAATAAAGTAGATACTAAAATTAAATTACCATATATATTTGTTAAAGACAAAAAAAGTAGGGCGTTTTTATTTTATTTGTGTCGATTGTATTTGAAGCTACTATCAACAAACACGTATCTTATGTTTAGAAGAATAATGGTCTTATTCAGCTGTATTTTGTTTTTCGCTGATGATAAATGCACAGTTTTATTGATTCGATTTTTACAATATATGTTACATTTCTTCTAATAGATTAAAAAATGTATATTGAAAATTAAAATCTTATATTTCCATCGATTACGATTAATTTTTTATAAAATATTTATAATCCCACTAGACGTTTTATTCAAACCGTAATAGTTTCTTTAACGAAAACAAAAATCTATAAGCTTTTATCCTTCATATTTGCATGACTAATTCTATTGAAATAATTCAAACGAGAAATTACTTTTCTTTGTAAAGCTTCTTATTTCCTTTTGATTTATTACATTAATGAAGAAAACTGATGGATTTATGCTACGATCTAGAAAAATTTCGACCAACATAATTTCTTTTTCTTATCAATAGAAATTTGTTTTAATAGCATAAGCTATACGAAGAATTTTCTTTTCTTTTGCTCGTCTATTCAGGAAAGAAAATTTTCTACATGAGAAAAATCTGTCATCTGTATGAGTCTCTACTAATAAAGAAAGCTAGTCCCTTTGAAGTAAGCGAGCATAGGACGGAGAAACAAAGAAAAGCAAAGAAGTATAAAAATAAACGGTCAAGTACTTCATCAGTAGAACAATGCTCATTCGTAAAAAAAGAAGAATCAGATAGATAGGAGAAAAGAACAAGAGAAATAATAAGACGACACATTGTAAGGGCCATAGAAATGAAAGATGTAAAATGAATCGAGATGTTGACAAATGAACAAGTAAGTAATAATCAATGTTGTTTTGTTTGTTATTGATTTAGAATTAATAGATAACTGTTTGTATGTTCGTCTATCTCGTTGCTTTTGATCTTATTCTAGATCTTAATGGAGATTCGATTTCGAGCAATATGGGAAGACTAACTATATCCATAGAATCTTCCGATGCGAACGAGCCTCAAGTGTTTGGTATTATATTTGATAGTTGGTGTTATTCTACTTAATATTTATATACTCGGTCAACTCTATTTTCATCATGACAACACTCAAAACACTCACCAACATCAAAGTCAACATAAATACTCAAATAATGTTTTTCCTGTTATTGAAAAAGGCGATGCGCTAGTCAATCAACCATTATCAAAAGCGAATAATTTGAAAAATAGTAATGAATTTCTTGTATTGGATTGGACTGGTCATCAACATATCTTTCGAGAACAAGATCCGATTAAATGTAAGTTAATGTTATCTAACATAAATTCAATGTCACTTAGTTCTATACACATATATATGGTGTGTACCACGTGGCATCAGCTATATTTGTATCACTGAATCAAATGAATATAAACGAAAGAAATATTTACATTTTCGACAGGTTTCTTTATTGTGAGGAAAAGTAAAAGGTTCCAAAAAGAAAATATTGATTTTAAATCTTTCTCTAATTTTAAAGCAGATTTTTACTAATGGTTCATTATATAGTATTAAAATATAGTTTTAGTGTTGTACGGTGTAGTCTTCTAAAATATATTGAATATCATTTGATCGAAACGAGATTCTAACTGTTTCAGTGAACTTTTGCGATGAAAGAACTACAATTTTCGGTCTTAATTAATCATAGGAAATTTTCAGAGGCATTATATTGTTTCTTCGTCGGTTATCATAGATTACATTATTTTCTTGATGTCGATCGTAAAGAATAAGAACTTTGAAATCACTATATCAGTGGCAAAATAAAGCCTAAGTCTAGTGCAAATAGTTAAGCGATCCGTTTTTTAGTAAATTAACCTTGACATCGGTATATACTTACAATGAGGCACCATGTGTTCGAAAATGTGATTTTGCACAGCTACTGTTAAGCATTTTAATTGATTTATTAATGCGATGCGAAGCGGAAGTTTTTAATGCAATACGAAGCATTGCATTTATGTAGTCCGTCGCGTGTTTCCTTTTGCTTTTGCTTTCTCGACGTACGCATCTTTTTCGTCATCTTGTGACCCGATGATCTCTCGAGTACCGAAAAATCATAGAAAAATCATTGAAACGGGAGATGAAAGTATCGAGATCGAACTTCTGACATATTCTTTCTATTCTTTAATCTGATATTCCGTTCACTCACAAATGTGGTTCCAAAATGACAAAAATGAAAGAAATTTGATTCAAGATAGTTAAAATGACGTCATCAACATATATTAGCCACACTATAGTCTATTCTTTTACAGCTGATCTTAGATAATGAATCATTGAGATAATTAATCAATCCTTAAGAATGCATCGCTAAGTAAAAATAGAGTTTTCAGAGTGATGAATTACATCATGGCTAACTAAAAAGTATTCAAGATTTCTCTGAATTGAAGATTTTTCGTGAAGATCCGAAGTTTTGCTTCGCATCGCATTTTGTACACGAGTGCAACTCAAATAACATCTAGTTCTTCTATAGTCTGCTATTGGAAATAACTGAAAATTCTTGGAAAGAATTTCATTCTTAAAAATCAATTAAATTTTCTTTTTCTGTTTAGGTGATTTTTCTCATATAAATCGTGATCAATGCGTAGCAAAATTTAATACATTAACAAACGATGCTCTTCGTTCGATTCTAATTGAACGATGCATGCGTTTATTAACATTAACTGTTCGTTGGACAGATGATCAATCACGTTTAAAAGAAGCGAATCTTATTTCATATCATTCCATTCATATGCCATCAAATAATTTACCGAAACTAGAACGTTCTGATCAACGACAACAGTATTCAACTGTATATGTACTTGAAAGTGAAGTACATTCATCTGGTGGTCATGATTGGCATGAAATTGATTTTCCAATGTGGTATAATTTAGAACGTTCATATCCTGAGCCAGCTACCTATTTTGATTTGAAATCATATCTTGATAAATTATTTGCACCTGTTCGAGTACCATTTTCAAAAAAAGTTAAATCAGCATCAATCATATGGATTATATCGAATTGGTAGGAGATGAAATAATTTTCTTTTTTTTTATCTTGCTATCTATTGAATTTTTGTTTTGTCTATAAAGTAACGCTTATAATGGTCGCCAATCAATTGTTCGACAATTGATGGCACATATGCGTATTGATTCGTTTGGTGGCTGTCTTAATAATGGGAAATCAGTTGAAGCACAAGCACGTGCACAATCCAATTCTGAATTATATGCATCCTACAAATTTGTTATATCGATTGAAAATTCCAATTGTGAAGATTATGTCACAGAAAAATTAATTGATGGCTTATCGTCAACAGCTGTACCGATTGTTGCTAGCCGTGATGGAAAACCTGATTATACGCGATTTGCACCCAATCATTCATATATTAATATTTATGATTATAAAACAGTGAAAGAATTAGCGGATTATTTAAATTATTTATCAAATAATGAAACCGCTTATAACGAATATCTTTGGTTTAGACAACCACCGGCTAATAAATATGCGGTAAAAAATATGAATTATTATTGATTGTTCATAGATGAGAATCGTTTAACGAATACGGAACTTTTCAATATAGAATAATGCTATTGGCATGAACAATAACTATTAATAAATGAAAAGTTTAGGAGATTCAAATATTTCGTGGGGGGGGGGGGGGGGGGGGGGGGGGGGGGGGGGGGGGGGGGGGGGGGGGGGGGGGGGGGGGGGGGGGGGGGGGGGGGGGGGGGGGGGGGGGGGGGGGGGGGGGGGGGGGG